ATTCCGGCAAATCGGGGAATCCAGAGACGTACCCATTTGGTAAGGAAAGAAGATGGAAACATCCCTTTTGGGCAAATGGGTTTACAAATTCTTGAAAGTGTGTATACCGTGGACTCTTTCGGTCTGTACGCATGTTCAAGTTATCCATTAATAGAGACATTGCTCCAAAACACCATCCTAACTGTATTTTATCGGATCCATTGTACCCATATTTTTGTAGCCCCTTAGCATTTACAGGTAGTGGTATCATGTTAATATAATTTTCCAAGTAAAAATCGATTCCTTCCCATTCTTCGAGTACGTCATGTTTTTGCATTCTTTTGCAAACTAAGTGATCAAACACCGTAGGATTCCAAGCCTTATGTGGGGCATTGAGTTCGGTAATCATCACTCCGTTATAACAGTTCGTCAACAGCACAGACATCAAACACCAAGAGCCAAGTACCAAACGAAAGATCAAACGCCTTTCCATTTTCCTAGGTAGGGAACCAGCCTCTTCGAAAATGGTGGCAAGAACAAAGAGCCATATACTTGCGGAAATCTGATCAAAGTCACTTAAATAGGTGAAACATGTAGTGACTACTATAATTGTGACTACTGAAATGGATAACATAACCCACATCAATGGTTTGAAGGGAGTAATATAAAATTGGAAAGTAATGTATTCATCTCGATAGCAGGTCAGAAATTCAAGACCCGTAATATCAGTAATTACAAAAGTCGTTTCGTCTTCAGGAAGTCCAGACACAGAACGGGTACTAGTGCCATCAGTAATCGAAGAACAGTAAGGCTGACAAGTATGTGCCATATTCAACGTTTCATTGGCCGAGGTAAAAATTATTTGTAAAATATTTCGCAACTGGGGTTGATAAATTCTGGGTCAAACGGATTTCTAACTCCCTCATAAATATTTAATTTCAAGTAAGATTTGTCTTTGGACAGCTGCTGGTCATACCTCCATTTGGGGGATTCAATTGTGAATTCTTTAGTAATATCTAAAACACTGCGGTTTACGAGATTATCGTCCCTGCCTGCATCACAAGAATTTTGCTGGTTCTGGAATAACCGAAAAGTATTCCTGTTCAACCCATTCCTAAACCATACGCAAACTTTAAGCTGGTTTTCTTGAGCCATAAAAAGTACAGAAATTCTAAAGTAGTATCCAGCCCAAAAAGTAAATTGGTCATGCCTATCTCGATTAGAGTTAATGGTAACAATAGCCATTAAAGCATCATAATTACAGTGTAACCGTACAAACCAACTCGCCGGTGGATAATAAACGTGCCCTTTTTGAGCTCGTTGAATCCAGTGAAAAAAGTTATCCGATAAATAATGTTTGTGTATTTTGAGAGCAGTCCGAGAAATAAATATAGCGAATTTGCAATCTGTAGCTGCCCGTGATTTGAGTACGTTTATAAAATATGGGTTTGCGGTTACATTAAGCCAACCGACATCTGTCAGAATCTTTACAGGTATATTAATATTGAACCAATCTACGTTACTTTTCCGTACATCGTGAAGTATTTGGGTGTCACATGAATTCAACTTATTCAGCAAAATGTCAAATACTGGGACTAATTGGGTCCTAAAGTAACTTGGCTTCATGCATAGTGCGGTATAAGAGTAAAGAAGCAAAGGTATTGCAAAACAAAACAGAACTCTTGTCATTCTTGTTAAGTGCATTTAATGCTAAGATCTATTTAATACATAAGCTATCATACAAATTGGTTTATTAAGTAAAGTATATGAGAACGGTCCTCACAAATCTGTTTCTTATCTGTATTTATGTATGCTTATTACTCGATCTCCACAACATGTATTGGAACATTTGGAATTCGTAGTAGGTGGTAAATGTTTTACAAATTTATTAAGACTAATAAAATTTGTCCGAGATGTACGCCTGTATGTATAATCAAGTATGGAAACAAGTGGCGCTAAATGAAATATATAGGAAATAGCGAGAGATTTAATTTATATGGATTTTGTCACTTTTTATTCGAATTTGAACCTCTGTAAAGTTCGGAATCTAGGTCTTAACAGTTACAATTCTTCAGCATGAATAGGGTAGACCTGTCAAATATCTGTAGTCTCATTTTGCCCTTAATATCTAAATGTCCCTCTTAGAGAGCTCCCTCCCATCCTTTGTCAATTATTCGTTGTCAGTTCGTTGCGAGAGAAAGATATAAGAGTTGAGCAGTCAACATTATATTTAATTTCACGTTCATTTTAAGTAATTAAAGTAAAGTAAAGTTACATTCCTCTCGGTTCATTATTAACTAACTAAAAGTGTGATGATATTAATAAATCGTCTAGTTAATTCATTTAACAGTGAGGTTTGATTCGTCCTATTAATTCACGCCTAGTTAGTTCGGTATTCACGGCCAGTAACACATTTTAAGTAATAGAGACCTCTTCTCGGGTAGAGATAAGGATTTCTACATTTTTGGTGACCTCGACGTGATCACTGGAGTGATTACCAACCCTAGGCCGGACCGGAGGAGAAAATATAAATCTGAGAAAGTGGTTTGCTGAAGCCCCGGGTATCTTCCCAAAGTTCAGCTCTACCAGGTTGTATCTGTCCAGTTAAAAGATTATCTGGCTAATACTAATAATTGTTTTACAATTTAAAAATGAACAGTGAACAGAAAACTCCAGTGGGTGGGCGCCGTAGTGAACGGACCAGGCGAGAACCTGAGCGCTACACTCCAGGTTGGAGCAGAGGAGGAAAGAGGGCGACGACTCTACAAGAAGAAGAAACGGACGCGGAGGACCAAGAAGTTCAGCCGTTGAAAAGTCCCAATAAGGAAGGAGCGTCGTTCCTGTCAAGAATGTGGCCGTTTGGGGGGAAAAAGTCTCCGCTGCCATCAACATTGTCAAGTTACGCTCGGCGAAGGGCTCAAGCAAAGGTAGAGCTACAAAAGAAGTTCGCCGTTTTGGACAAGGAGATTATTGATCTGCAAGAATCAATGGAACTTGCCCATTGTGAGATCGAGTCATTTGAAGAAGAGGTGAAGAGGAAGACGGACATTTGTGAGCCGACTCATCCCCTCCACAACCCTGAAGAACTTTTAAAGTCACATCAAGAGATTGCAAAAAGCAGCAGTGAATTAGATGAAAAGAAAATGAATGCAAAAATGGCCAAGATTCGAGCATCAAAGCGGATCGAAGCTATCGCAATAGAAAAGAAGACTTTAGAAGCTGAGGCGGAAGTTCATCTTGCAGAGATTGATGAACAAGAAGAACAGCATCTCGGATCCGATGAAGAATTGAGTGATCCCGAAGAAGAAGAAGTAAGAAAATTGACAAAAGAGTTTGAAGAATGGAAAAGTGGGTGTGGTGTGAGTGCGCCGACCATTAAAGATGGATATTCTCATGAAAAGACTGAGTTTATTCCTAATCCCACTTCCGCCATGGACTCTATTGTGCAATCACTGCAAACTCAGAATCAAGCATTGATGAAAGTGCTAAGCAGTAATCAGCCGTCTCAGTCATTAACAGATAAGCTGCTCGTTCGCCAGTCGATCGGACGAGATTTGCCGTTCTTTAGTGGAAGACCTGAAGAGTGGCCTTCATTCATTTCCACATTTAAGAGGACGACTACCTCGTGTGGATTTACAGATGCAGAGAATGTGGAGCGGATCCGGAAGTGCTTGAAAGGAGATGCAGCCAAGAGTGTCGAACGTCTCCTCGTCTCGCCGGAATCCCTCCCAAAAGTGCTTCAAATTCTAGAAGAAAAGTATGGTCAACCCGAAGTCATTGTGAGGTCAATGGTGGCGAAAGCAAAGTTAGTCCCATCAGTTAAAGAAGAGAAACCCCAAACAATGATCGATTTCGGAACGACGATTCTGAATTTAGTCGCAACAATTAAGAATTTGGGTGAGCTGGAGCACTTGAATCCAGTTTTGCTGCAAGAATTGGTGGAGAAATTGCCATCACATTTTAGGATCAGTTGGGAAGAATCCGTCGTGGCTCTTACCCATAAATCAACGTTAGAAGATTTTTCAGAATGGGTTGAAGGCCGGGTGAAGATAGCATGCAGAATGTGTCCCCTCAGACCGGATGAAAATAAGAAAGAAGAGAAGAAGTCCCATGCAAATTCAGCAAAAGAAAAGGAAGAAGGTTTGTGTACAACTGCTGGGCTTTTTAGTGCTCAAGATAAGAAGAGTCCCTGTGTATTCTGCAAGAAGAATATTCATATGAGCAGAGACTGTTACCGTGCTGAGAAGATGACCTGGGACGAGAAAAGTAAAGTGCTACGTGAAGGTCATCTGTGCTTCAGGTGCTTTACTCCTGGTCATCGTAAGGACTCTTGCAAAGTTAAGATAAAGTGTGCAATTTGTAGTGGCCCCCATGTCAAGTCAATGTGTGCCGAGCTTCCAGCGAATCAAAGAAGAATTCGAAATGAAGAAGTACAAGAAGAACAGGTGCAAGCTGTCAACATAACAGCACATAACGCCAACCACACTTGCCGAGGAGATGTTTTGCTAAAGACGGTCGTAGTTCGTGCCATCGGTCCGAAGGGGACCAGTTTAGTCCGGCTGCTCTTCGATGAAGGAAGTCAGCTCAGTAATGTTGGAAATGCTACGGTGAATGCGATCGGATGTCGGCAAGTTGGTGAAGAGTGGTCCCGTAGTGTTCTGTTCGGTGGTGACGTCACCAATGCGAAGAAAGTGAAGAAGTTTGAAGTAAAACTGCAAAGTTTAGACGGGAAATTCAGCGAGAAGTTTGTTTTGAATGAAACTCCCGTTATTTGTGGCGAGCTTCCACGAACACCACACGGGCCTTGGGTGCAAGACCTAAAAAAGAAGAGGATTTGGATCAGTGATTTGGAGCAGCGTTCTCTTCAATCAACTGATGTCGAAATCCTGATCGGAAGCAATTACTGGGGAAAGCTGGTGACAAGCAAGCCATTACAAGTATTTGAAGATTTGAATGCAGTTAATACCAAGTTTGGATGAACTCTAAGTGGTCCACTTTCAAGACAAACCAGCAATTTAGCCATGACGTGTACAAATCTGGTCGTGAGCCAAGCAAGTGTAGCTGATTTGTGGGATCTCGAAACGATTGGAATTCGGGATCCGGCTGAAGCCAAGACAAAAGAAGAAAATGATCGAGAAGCAAAGGAGAACTTTCTTCAGACCATCACAAGGAACGAGGATGGACGTTATGTCGTTTCATTACCGTGGCTTGGGAGTGAGCAGGATATCCCGAATAACAAGACCACGGCAGAAAAGAGGTTGGTGAATGCAACTAATAAATTAAGTGAAAGCAACTTTACGTTATATGATGGAATTATGAGTGACTGGATGAGGGAAGGATTTATCGAAGAAGTTTCAGATGCAGATAAGAAGAATTTGTGTTATTATCTTCCTCATCGCCCGGTTTTCAAACCGGACAGTTTGACCACGCCGGTCCGTCCCGTCTTTGATGCTTCATGTAAGACGGGAAGAGCACCATCATTAAATGAAAGTCTGGAAAAAGGCCCGAATCTAATGGAATTAATTCCGTCCATCTTGCTTCGGTTTCGGGAAAAGAAGATCGGTGCAATATCCGACATCCGAAAAGCCTTACAAATGATAGAAGTGAAAGAAGAAGATCGCGACTTCCTCCGTTTTCTATGGTGGGAGGACGCAACTCAAGAAAAGTTAAAAGAATTCAGGCACAAGCGGGTCGTTTTTGGAGTTAATTGCAGCCCGTTCATTCTAGCTGCTGTGCTGGAAAAACACCTTAAGTCGGTGAATGAAGAACTCCAGCCTGTAGCAAGAAAGTTATTGTGGTCCCTTTACGTCGACAACTGTGTGACGTCACTGGACACTTTTAAGGAATCCTGTGGAGCACAATCGCTGTCGCCATCCAATCCGCGGTACGGGTAGTACCCGACTCCGGATGTCCCCACAGTGGTGTGCTCCCATTGGCACAAATCCATCTTCGCGTCATTGAGGATCTCGGTGGACAAAGCCTTAAAATTCTCACATTCCTTAAATCGAAACCCGGTTTTATAAAATAGGAAACACCGATTTTGGATGACCAATGTGTCCAAATTGTTCAAGAAACATATGGAGTTGTAGTTATTTCCATTCGCTGTAGGAATTTATGGCATGCCTTTTTTTACTCAAATTTAAACTCATGTCCCCTAGAGGACAGTGTAAAAATTAATTAGCCTTTAACCAAGTTTGACATCAAGTCCTGTTTTTATTAGCAAAAAAGAGTATCAAACTAACAAAGCACTTGTCAAATTTGTAAGTCAAGAGATACCCTAAATTCCGTACGTTTATTTCATTATCATTCCTTAGAATATAGTTGAAGCACAAAAATTGTCCAAATTTTTTTAATCCAAGGGAGAACCAAGATTTCCGTATAACCTCATCCCCAAAACGCCATCCTGAATGTTATTTTTCAAATTTCCATCACTGGAAATTAAAAATTCTTATGCACATATATACAAAAGCTTTAACTTGAATTAGATGTGAATGGAGTTTCCAATTAATATAAATACAACAAGAGTTTGATTACGACCTGCCTACTTTGCCCCCAATTTAAATGCATGTCTCCTAAAGGCCAGTGTTACCGTAGTTCACTTCTATTATTCCGAACATGTCAAAAATCCTAGCCATTTAATTTCATGCTTTGACGCCACTGTAAAATTCTAATGAAAAAAGAAATCTTATCATAACAAAACAATTATCAAATTGACACGAAATTTTTCGACTTGATGAAATAATGGGGATGCAATTTTCCTCACAAATTTAGTATGCACACGTTGAAAAGAAATTGCAAAATTGGTTTCACATATGTATTTACAACCTGCCAGTATTACGGGGACACCATAACACTTTATTGAAGTTACACATTGCGATCTTGATAAATTGGCAGTCTGAAAATAGCTCAATTATTGCAAAACCCAGTTAAAATATTGAAGAGATTCCCCTTTCCGGCTGAGACTAGTTTTTTGTCGCACTTTCATCACAGTTTTCATTACAGGGTGTTCGGATAATTGGAGTTCGTTGTCGTATTTCATAAAGTGGTAAATTATCTAAATTGCACGTCTGGCATAAAACAAGATTCGAAATTTATAGCAATGTCGCGAATTTGTGGAGAAATTTTTCAAGAGAGAAATCCAGTTGGATTTTTTGACTAAAAATAAGTCAAGTTTTACAGGAAGCATGAATCAATTACAAAAAAATCATAAGAAACCTGAATTTAATTAATTCGCTGCCGCAAGTCACTCGAACGTTTGAAAACTGTGTAAAAATTTGTAAAATAAGTTTACAACACTGATTTTACATAGTTTGCAAAAGTTCGAGTTATATATTTCAGGATACGTTCTCATTAAAAATCTTGATAAATAATAAATAGATAAAAAACACGCCCATTTGCTTGATTAATCTTGGGAGCCAAAATTAGTCACCTATTAAAGTAATTTATTTAATAGTTTTTAAAAATTTAATATTCCAACGTTTAACAGGCACAATTCAAAATTTATTTTATTACCTTATCGAAATTACTTTAGTTTCCGAGATTAAACTCCGTTTCACGTTACTTGATTTGGTCACATGGAGTACATTACCCGAACGATCCGAATTATTTTATTATTTGAGACCTGTAATTTTCATTTTGGCGTTTAAATTATTCTATTTCGTATGATTTTTACGCCAAAATAAAAATAAGTGGTGTCAAATAATAAAATAATTCGGCTCATTCGGCTAATGTAATGTAATGTACTCAAGGCGGGGAACTCAAGTAACTTGAAACAGAGTTTAATGTAAAAAGAAATTAAAATGTGCCGATTTGGGAATCAAAGCAGCCGACAAAGGAAGATTATAACCTTTTAACATTATTTTCTATTACATTTTTTACAATATTGTCAATTTGACGGGTAATGATGCAATTTTAAGCTGCTCAAATTTTACAGAAAACGGTTATTTGCCTATTTTTTAAAGCCTTGTTTTATGACCTTTGTCAGGTTTTGAACAAGTCAAAAGGCAGATGTAAATGTGCCATTTAGTGTCACAACTTATTTGACAAATTTCGGTTTTCGAAATAATCTAGAGCCATAAAAACATACCGAGTTTGGCTTAAATCATTAAAAAATCCATTGTTTTCTATGTAGAAACAAGCTTTGCAAATGTTTCGAGATTGCAAAAATTTTGTGAGTGAGTAGTTATGTCCATGTTGATGTCTGCCAAATTTTCCAACTGAAGGCTTCATCTAAGTTATTACTTCTGATAAATCTAATTATGCAAAAAATTGATAACGTCGTTTAAGTCGTAATTTAAACAATTTGTAAACTTCACATTTGTAAATAATTTTCACAGACTTACCACGTCATGTTATTGTTACTATTGTCTTAATTGTCTTAGGAATGAGTTTTGCCAATCTTTCAAACTTGCAAAAACTTTGCTAGTTGCTGATAATGTTTGCCAAATTTTATTTTCCAACTGTGAGGTTCAATCTGAGTTTTTTGTGAGTAATTTTACTATACAAAAAATTGGTAAAAGTCGTTGAAGTCCGGTTGCATTTGATAAAATTTGTTAACTCCGCATCTGTAATTATTTTTTAGAATATTTGCACAACTTTAAATTTCATTCTTACTTAATCGTGTTGTTATTTTAGCTTCCAAGTTAAAAACAAATTAAAACGTGTCAATTTTTTGTTACGAAATTTCGGAACAAACAAATGCAACAAGTATGCTTTTAATCTTTTAAAATTAATTTACACTACATTTTGAAAAATTTGTCATTCCAACGTTTTAAGATGCAATTCTTAAATTCTTAAATTTGATACAAAAATAACATTTATATTTTGTTTCAATAACTTTTCTCAGTTTTTAAGTAGTACACGTATGAGTTCGCATCACAACGTATTTAATAAATAAATGATTTTCAAAATATTATCTAGAAACAAAAACATGCCGACTTTTTTTGGGATAAATTTGGAAAAAATTTGGAATTCTTGTCCAGAAATAAATTTTCTAGAATATTGATACGTAAGCTGTAAGTTACAGCTTACGTCACTTTTGACTAATTTGATTATGCAGAGAAATTGCCAAAGTCGGTTAGGTCATACATTTTTTGAAATTTGTTAATTCTACCTTCATAATAATTTTTTACACACTTTCCACACCTATAAATTGCATTATAGTTTAATCGTTGTTATTTTAATTTCCGAGTTAAAAAAATTAAAGCGTGTAAATTTCGAAACCAAAAAGCGCAAAGAATAAATACTATTGTAATCTTTTAACATAATTTGCCATTACATTTTGAAAAACTTTTTATATCGACGTTTAAATGATACATAGTGAAAACTGCTGATGCAGTTTTAAGCGGCTAAAAATTTGGCAGTAAACATTTGCAAGTAAGTTAACAATGGTGTACACATGTTATTTAGCATTGCAATTTATTTGAAAAATTTCGGTTTTCGAAATAATGTTGAGACATGCTGATATTCTGGGCAGCGTTTCTTTTTGTGCACTTTTCCGGATGGGTGTTATTATTGTTTAATAAACAAGGTCCCTAAAAAGGGGAAATCTTAGTGAGGGAGTGCAATCACAACTAATAAATAAAATTAGATTGGAGAATTTTTGCATCACCGCTCTCGGTACCATTTTTACTGGATGCAGTATAAATTTTTCTTTGCATACGCATGAATTCTTAGTTTTATTGAATAAATTGAGGAAGGAATACATTTTTACTGTGTAGTGAACGAGAAGTGGGTTAAATTAACTGAGGTAGATATGTAAGATATAATGGCTAAATAATTCTGAGCTACGTATTTGTTTAAAAAAATATACAAATTTCAACTTCATATATTAATTTGGCTACTCTATGCAAAATCATCGAACCTTTTGAGGGAGCAAGTGTTCTATTTAAACGATTAATGCTTCCAGTAATAAAAATGGTACCGAGAGCGGTGATGCAAAAATTCTCCAATCTAATTTTATTTATTAGTTGTGATTGCACTCCCTCACTAAGATTTCCCCTTTTTAGGGACCTTGTTTATTTATAACTTTTAATTGGGGAATTAGATTGTCCATTGGATGACTGCATTGCACTACCCCTTTTCAGTAGTTTGATCCGGAATAATTTTATTAAATTCTGGGTGTTTAAAATTGAATAAATCCGTTATTTCTTAACCGATTTATATCATTTTGGTCAAAATGTCCGGCCTAGATTTCTAAACACCAAAAGACCTGATCTGGAGGTGCAAAACCAACAACAATTTCACGCAGTTTACCAAGCATGTTACAGAAACAATTAGTTATGCTGTTTACAGTTTTGAATGTAATTTGTTTTCAATTTATTAGTCTTGCGTCGTTGTCAATGGCAATGATTCGTAGCACGAGCAGGAATTTCTGAACTTCAAATTGGAATAACTAAGCCAATTCTTAACGGATTTTGATATATTTATACTTAAAATTTTCGGGATAAACTGCCCTACAATTCGTGGGTATCAAACTTTTGATAAAGTTTGCTAGTAACTAGCAATAATTACAAATGTGTTTCTAAGGCTACATTTTTGCCCATAATTCCGGTCAAGATCACGTAATCCCTTAGTCGGATCAGATCCCGTTTCTATATTATGTAACAATAATCGGTGCAAAATTTCATCAAAATCGGTTGAAAAGTGACTGAGATATCGCAGATGGTCACTTTTTTGGGGTGGGTCAAATGCATACTTAGTAATTTTTTCGTTGTTAGGTATTTGCCTCACTAAGAAAAACATTTTTGTCCACTAATTTCGTGCAGGTGTTACTTAACAGCAGAAACACTGCAATATCTGAGTAATCCACCGTTTTCTATATAGAAAAGAGTTTCGTGCAAATTTTCGAAAACTTTGCATGCGATTAAATATGCCGATTTTTTATCTGAAGTACTACACGGAAAACAATTTGATTATATAACAAAGGTGACAAAGGCGTGTAAATCGTACATTTCATAAAATTTGTTAGCTTTACTTCTGTAATTATTTTCTAGAATTTTTTCACGACTTCAAGTTATTGAGGGTATTCATTATTTCTTCTTATCCTTAGTATTCTTTGTATCGTAAAATAACTTACGACGCTTACGAGATTTTGTAAGCGTCGTAAGATTTTCTCATCGAAAATCGCGTTACTACGCTTACGATTTTTACGAAAGCTGACCCCTTGTTTTATCTTCGTAAACTATTTTAAGATACTACGGATACGAAGAAATAACGAATACCCTCATTGTTCTAATGTTCGAAATACAAGGAAATCTTGACAAATAAAAACTTGCCGATTTGCTGGGGTAAATTTGTGAACAATATCAAAACCTTTACAGGCATGAATCTTTTATTTATTTATAATTTATTACACTTTTTTAAAAATTGATACGTTTAAATGCATGTTTAAAACTACGTCTATTTTTGAAATTCTCGCCCAAAAATTCGTAAACCGGTCGAAACGAAAAATTCGACACGTTCATCCCCGTGACGTCACGACCTTTTGACATGCAACGTCTATCAATTTTCTAAAATATGAAATTTTACATAACAAAAAGACGTCCTTGATCTGAGTAAATTTACAAAAATTTCTGAGCTAATTTTCTTCAGAACTTTTTTAATTGCAACGAAAGACTTAGTTTTTCCGAACGCTGAACAAGAATCTTTTAACAATACATATATTCCATTACAATTTGATAAACTTGTTATTCCGACGTTAAACTGGTGCAGTTGTAAACTGATAAAATTTGATACAAAACATTTGCACTTTTTTTTTGAAGTTTCTTTATAACTTTCTTCCGATTTTAAGAAAGTAAGCAAGACGCTCTAGTAACATGTACTAGTATCATATAAAATCATATAGCATATGATTTCACATCACAACATATTTTAATAATTTCTATTTTCAAAATAATTGAAATTGAAACGTGCTGATTTTCCTAAGTAAACAAACATTCCATCGTTTTCAATGTAGAAAAAAAGTTTAGAAAATGTTTTAAATTTACGAAAAGTTTGCATGTTATGACCGATGCGATGGAGGCGTTACATCTTAGTTATTACTTGGTTACTAATTTGATTACATTTTTTTAATTTTTATTCACTGAACTTTTTCGGGCGCAACGCCCATAAAGTTACATGACAAAATACAAGTATATAACAATGTGACAAAATTTGGGAATAAATCCCCCTCTGCATATTCTTATAACATTGTGACAAAATTTTGGAAGAAATCCCCCTCTAATTTGATTACATAATATAATTGATAAAGTCGTTTAAATCCAAAATTTTGCAACAGAAAATTTGCCAATGTTTCAAATTTGCAAAAACTTTTACGACTTACTGATAATGTCCAATTTATGTTTGTAAATGTTTGCCAAATTTTATTTTCCAACTGTGAGGTTTAATCTGAGTTTTTTGTGAGTAATTTTACTATACAAAAAATTGATTAAGTCGTTTAAATCCTGTAAATCTTAAATATTTATGTTTTAACATTTGTAAACTTCACATATTTATGTTAACATTTTTTTAATCTTGCCTGGATTTCATTTCGGATCACTTGTTTAACAAATACATGGTTTTCGAAATAACAATCTTTCCGAGTAAATTTGCAAAATAAGATTCACCCTTTTGAAGGAAATGTTTCAAATTTGCGACGTTTTGCAAAACCTTATATTGATGCTTGCTGGGTGTAAGAATTCTTTGAATTTGGGTGGTTTTTAAGCATTTGATTACGCAAAAACTGGACAAAATCCTTTAAATCCGACTTTTCTAAGAAACGACTATTCGAATTTTTGTAAATTTTGTTAATTCCACGTGCGTAATATAGAAATGAATTTTGTCAATGTTTCTAATTTGCCAAACCTTTGCGAGTTACTAATAATTTCAAGTTCCTGTATGTTGATGTCTGCCAAACTTTCAATCAACGAAGATTTCATTTAATAAGAGAACCTCAACTATCTCGATATCCTTCCAAATAGCCTTAATCGACAGATAATTTGGTGAACGTCAAACTTTGTCATAGAACATGCGGTGCACAATCGCATTTTCGCCAAATATTTGCTGAGAGCTGCACCAAAACGTGCCATTTCTAATTGCCAAAGTTTATGCGTGTGTAGAGTATTGATATTGAACTATATATGAACCTATCCGCGTAATTTTGTGTCAATCAAAATATGCAAAAAAGTGATGAAATTATTTGCCAATTATTTCAATTTTCAAGTATCTGTCAAATTTCTGTATGTTTGGCAAACTGCAATAAAATTGACAAAGTCGTTTAAATCCGACATTTTATAAAATTTGTTAACCCCACATGCGTAATTATATTTTAAAACTTTTCCACGACTTTAAATTTTATTTATATTATTATTTTATCGTTATTATTTTGGTTTCCGAGATACAAGGAAAACATTCATTCTTTATCGTATTCCTTAAAGTCGCAAATAACTCAAATTGCAAGTCTAGCATTGAAAAACCAGATCCAAAATTTAGCAATGTCGCAAATTCGTGGAAAAACTGTTATACTTTCTTTTCTAAAAACTAGCCAACTATTGAATTAACTAAATATGAATTTAGTAATTAACCAAAAGTCGAAAAACCATGAATTTAAAATGCAATTAAAAATCAATAGGAGCTCTCAAGGCTAAAAAAATGAGCGAAATGAGCAATGAGCAGAAAAATAAAAAATCCGATTTTTCTGCTCAAGCCTTGAACGTACCACTTTTTTTATCGATCATAATACTTGAGAATCGTGATCTTTATTTGTGGAAGTTCAATTATTTGTTATCATTTTCATGGTTGTAAATTCAGTCTCATAATTCATAAAATTCCGAAAATAACTGAACGTCAAGAGATATGAGAATTTTTATCATTGTGGTCTTAGCATGGCTTTTAATGGGTTTCAACAACACGCATTGTGAAAATATTGCAGGAGAATTAATGAACAGCATTATCTCAAATAATTTATTTTATGTAGCAGCAATAAACAATTTTATAAGTCAAATATCTAAAATTTAGATTTAATAGTTTCCAATTGAATTTTGAGTTCCAGTGGCTTCGCTGAATCGTAATTTTATCGCATTGAAAATCATTTGATTTCATGTAATGGATGGAAATGACCGCACTTTTGTCCAGAGTTTCGTCTTTCTGAGGGTCAATCCCAAAACCCGACTGGTTTAACTTCTCTTTAGTCTTTGTGTACGTTTTAAGAAATCTGCCAAATCCATTTTTATTTGACTTTCTTCGCAGTTAAGGGCCAAAGCATCTTGGAGACGACCAAGGAATTCAGTGCGGTTGGTCACCTGCTCAAACATTTTTTTGCGATTAAGGATTTGGTCATTCAAAATTACATGTGGATAACAAATTATAATTTACCTTAAATGCGGTGTTATTGTCGACGACATAATGTGTCATGTCAATTTTTATTTGTGGTGTCCAGCGAAATGTTTTTCGGCCGCCTACCTCCACTTGTTACGACAAATTACGGGATTTACAACATTTTCGACACTGGTACTCTTAACCTTGGTCTTGGGACCCATAATGATAAATAATATGTTTTACAAAACTTTACTTAAGTTTTAAACCAAAAATTGAAGTAAACAAACAACTGATTTGCTGATGTGGAGCAGAATGAGCAGGATTATGAGAGAAAAAATCAACCCAAAACTCGATTTTTTTGTTGAGCAAGAAAATCTGATTTTGAGCGAAATCGCATGCGCACAGCCGAGCACAAAAGATCAGAATGAGCGATGAGCAGAAAAATCTGCTCTTTTTTTAGAGCTTTGAGAGGACCTAATATTTATTTCCATTATAAACCTTCCTCAGTTTCAAGTAGTACTGATGTACACGTATCGTTTCGCATCACAACTTATTTGATAAATAAATGGTTTTCGAAATCAGCAATCTTCGCAAATAAAAAAAATTCGAGTTTCTTCGTAATTTTTTGGGGAAAAAAATTACACCCCTTTTTACGAAAAATTTCATTCAGAAAACCTAAAAAACTTATGAACTGTTTCGAACATGCAAAAACTTTGGAAGTTACCTATGTTAACATTTTCCAGAATTTGCGTATCGATTAATTCAAGAGGAATAAGAGTTACTCTTCAATAGTTTAATTATACATAAAAAAAGTTGCAAAGTCGTTTAAATCCTACACTTTACAAAATTTGATTACAAAATTTGTAACTCTACAACTGTAATTATTTTTTCGACTATAATTTCAACCACTTTAAATTATACTAGTCTCTTAAGCCCGCAATGCGGGCTCTAAGTAAAAACATTTTATTTAGTTTTTGCGATACAAATGCCTGCTGAATAATTGTTAAACATTTATATTCACACAGAGCAAAGGAGCGTGAACTTGATTGTCACGTTGTATAGCGCCATCTATATTATAAGCTGGAAATGTTTGTCTGCAACGGAAGTGAAAGTAATTTTCCGTGACGGAAGTGAAAGTGGTGAAAGTTTCACTTCCGTTGCCAACCGACATTACCAGCTAATAATATAGGTAGAAAACAAAAATCATTCGGTGGAATTATGAAATACCACTTAATTTTCACGAAATCAAATAAGCCCGTCGCCCGGTGGGAGACGGGCTTATACGCTAGTGTTTAATATGTTGAGTTCGTCACGTCACGATTCTAACTGGTGTGACCACGAAAAACGTTCAGTTACGAATCTAAAGGGTGTGACCAAGAAAAACGTTCAGTCACGACTCTATGGGTGTGACCAAGAATAACGTTCGGCACGACTCTATGGGTGTGACCAAGAATAACGTTCGGTTACGAATCTAAAGGGTGTGACCACGAAAGACGTTCAGGCACAACTCTACGGGCGTGACCACGAAAACTTTCAGTCACGGCTCCATGGGTGTGACCAAGAATAACGTGCTGTCACGACTCTAAAGGGTGTGACAACTAAAAACGTTCAGCCATAACTCTAAAGGGTGTGACCACCCATGAAAAACGTGACTTTAAAGGGCGTGACCACGAAAAACGTGCCGTCTGAGCTCTATGGGTGTGACCATGAAAAACGTTCAGTTACGAATCTAAAATGTGTGAACACAAAGAAAGTAAGGAGTATACCCAGGAAAAACGTTCCGTCACAGCTATTGGGGGTATGACCACGAAAAAGGTTCAGTCACGACTCTAAAGGGGCGACCACGAAAAACGTTCAGTCACGACTCTATGGGTGCGACCACGAAAAACGTTCAGTGACGACTCTAAAGGGGGCGACCACGAAAAACGTTCGGTCACGACTCTAAACAGGGCTACCACGAAAAACGTTCAGAAGGGTGTGACCACGAAAAACGTTCGGTCACGACTCTAAACAGGGCGACCACGAAAAACGTTCGGTCACGACTCTAAACAGGGCGACCACGAAAAACGTTCAGAAGGGTGTGACCACGAAAAACGTTCAGAAGGGTGTGACCACGAAAAACGTTCAGTTACGACTCCAGGGTGTGCCCAGCGTTCAAGCGTAGTCGATTCCAGGGAGTATTTAATTGTTCTAACGTTTAAAACACGTTTCGGCACTTGAAGCGTAAGCCCGCCCTCTAGCGCTGAAAAGCAACCAACGTCCGGTAGTTGGCGCTGGTAGGTAATTAAAATTAGTAAGGCACGGGTCAAGTGTCAACCATAGCGTGGGGTCACAGGTCAAGTGTCAACCCTTGGGAGTGGGCCGCGGTAAAATATCAAGTCTAGTGGGTGTGCCCAGGTCACAGGTTAAGTGTCAAGTCTAGTGGGTGTCCCCAGGTCACAGGCCAAATGTCAGGTAAAGGGTGTGTTTCGTTGTTCTCGTGTTCGTCAACGTTTTTGGAACGTTTTGATACTTTAGCGAAAAACGCCCTCTAGAAAAGAAAAATGCAACATAGTGCCCAAACTGCCGCTAGGTGACGTTAGCTTGGACAATGTGAGACACGTGTGTAATCAAGCGCCAAGTTCAACTGGTAACACACACACACACACACACACCACTGCACAATTCTTGGTTCTGATTTATTATTAATGTCCCTACCAGTTTCATTTGTCTCAGTGGCTGACAAAAGAGCTCGCCCGACGGGTAGAAATGGATGTATGTGTTTTCGGCCGAAGTCGTGCCATGGTGGCACAGGGGACAAAACATCCGATCCCAGTTGAATGGGATCTGACCGGCACAGGTTCAAATCTCTGCCCAGACATTATTTTTGCACTATAAATTTTTATTTACTTGCATTATTATATTACCAATTTACAATTACTATACAAATTAACCAATTTTTCTTTATAACTAGAGCATTTTAACCTTTGCTGTGCGTCCGTGCGTTCAATCAATTAACTTTTATTAATGATAACTTCGAAAAATGTTTACAAAATAACAAAAAAATTGATATTAGCATGTGTCAGAGCTCGTTAAATTACTTGGTACGCAAATTTCAAATTATAATTTCGTTCCCAATATTGCTTAAATTACAAAATTACAATGCTGGTTACAAAGTTAGATTTAATTACAAGCTATTGAATAATTGAATTCCAACACAAATTTTAAAATAACACTAGAGATTATTAATGAACATCCAAAATTTTTGGCTTAAAAATTCATCTACAAACTTGTGCATCTGCACGGCTGGTAATTATTTTCCATTTTTGTTTCAAAATGCTACGATACGAACGTGCTAACTCGTAATGAATACACTCAACATAAAATTGTTACCGTAAAATCTAGCAAATAAATATTTATGATTTTTGTTATTGTGCATCTAAAGTGGGCACTGACGGCATCTGCCTCTTCTACCTCTTCCTCTGCCACGAGTAGCTGTTGTGTCTACCATATAATTTCCTATCTCAAGTTCCCTTTCAAATATGTCGTACGCCCAGTCGCAATCCCAGAGGGACAAGTCTCCTCCATGATCAACCTGGTCGCCATTCTCCATTACAACAGTTGTAGCTCGCGCTATGCAGTCTTCTTGATCGCTATCTTCATCACCACTATCTTCATCTTCTTCTGTTATTATAATTGGAGAAGTATGTGTTTCTTCTAGTATTCCATCCTCCTCCCAATACTTATTTTCTAACCTTAAAGTGACAAAAAATACAAATTTAACACATTATAATATATAGGCGATAACTACATGTCAAAATTCAAGTCCGTTCTAAAATTATCGTGGATACGGACGGACGGACAGACAGGACATTTCCATAAAGGGATTTCGCTTCAGCCCTTAATAATGTACATCTGAAACCAACCTCTTAGTATGTTTAAAGTGATTTTTAGCTAGGGTTTTGTCATAATTCTTTAATTCTTCTTGCATTATCAACTTGATGTCATCTAAGTTTTTGTTGTGATTCCTTCGTTTGGTATTGTGTTTTGTGTCTTTCCAGCACCTCTCTGTAATACGTCACCAAATTTAAATATGGATACTAACAATGCGATGGTGTGAGGTGGTTATCGCAGATATCCACCGGACTAATTGTAAATTGTTCACGCTCAAAAATAAGTGGACCCGTATTTTTGCGTTTTCCTGAATGGGCATGTTTACACCCGTGGGGGAATTTTAAGAAAAACTTAGGCGAAAATTCGGATTTTTGAAAACGCTGTAACTTTCGAATTTTAACCCGATTTAAAAAAATAAACCCAATTTTTGTTAAGAATTACATCCCTTAAAATATAAAATTCATTTTTAAAAGTTTAAAAAAATTGATATTTTCATGCTATTTCTGAATTTCTAGACACCAAAAAACCGATTTTTTGAAAATTAAAAGTTTTTTGAAAATGATTTTTATTGGCTGAATTTTTTTTTTGAAAATTCCGCCACGGGCGTGGACATGCCCATAAACGCAAAAATACGGGTCCACTTATTTTTGAGCGTGAACAATTTAAAATTAGTCCGGTGGATATCGGCGATAACCACCTCACACCTCCTCATTGTAAGATATGTCAAAATTATATATATTACAGGTCATGCAAAAGATATCTTAATGATTGGATTAAGATCACAGTTGTAAGGTGGCAACCTTAAAACCCTGTGACCCCGCTGTTTCGTCAATTTGTCGATTGTATATAATTCATCCCGCATTTCCGGCAACCGAGCTACTTTTCCAGCATATCTTCCAGCTCAAATTTTCTTATTGCTTTCATATCAGAGGGCAATTTAATATTTAGACCAGGCATTGTTGTATATTTCTGCAAGAAATTGTAAAGAACTTCTTTCCTTTCTGATTTCCTTGGTAAAATTTTGGTGGAATGATATGAAGCATTGTCCATTATTATGATCCATTTTTCATTTGTCCTGTCGAGATAATCCAACAACTTTATATACCACGATTGAAACGTTTGGGTATTTACATTGTCATGATAATCGCTTGCAGTCTGGGATTTTGACACTTTGTATACGAGAACAAGTTCGGGGATTATACCATCTTCGGTGACAGAACAATCAGACGAGGACCTATAGATAGTAATTTTGTACTTAAATTATTGGTTTATGGTAAGGTGACGGCTGCCAGCACGATGTTCAAAACATTGTTATGAATACTCCTAATATTACCAGTTGCCATCGATGTTGTTCCATATGTAAATGGAGCCATTTCTTTGATGGATTTACACGTCTTTGGAAACCAACCTCGCGCCACATGCATATTCCCATCAACCCACCTGTAACAACCATTAGGTTTAGATGTGTTCACAAATTACGGAACCTAAACATTCCGAAAAGGTAGACTTACGTCTCATCAATATAAACTATTTTGCATGGCTTCTCGGCAGCTTCGTTTCGGAGAAGTTCTCTAAGGTATTTTCCTCTCCATATTACAATGTCTTCTCTTTGACTTATTCCTGCTCTTTTATCTATAACCCCGTTAGTAAATCCCATTAAATGTAGTACTCTATGGAAAGTATTTTTTGAGCAATGAAATATGTCAGGTCTTGAGTGGTTATCTGGATTGGATCGATGACGAAGCATCTCATCGTCGTAATATTTCTTTTTGTAATGCATAAACTTTTGTACAAGTCGGCAGCAGTTATGGCGGCACCGTTTTTATATGATTTAACAATCTCACTTCTAATCCAATTACGATCTAATTCATCAATTTTTGTTTGTACTGGACAGGGCCTCTTTCCATTGCGCTGTGGTGTCGAAATTGTGTTTCCCCTCCATCTTTTGTTTGCTCGGGTTAGTTGGGCTTCTGTTACTCCTGCAAGTCGAGCCGCCACTTCCCTGGGAGTACCTTCTAGAATAGATGGGTTCGTTTTTCCTTGCCGCAAAGAAACCCAAACATTGAGTATTGCCTTCTGTGCGGTCGACTGTAAAGACTTTCCAATAAGATCGAATTCATATATGATTTCGGAATTAGGAGAGCACTTATTTGTTTCCCCTGGTGTTTCGTCAGTGTCGGCAAACGATGATATTTGAAATGGGTGAATGCTATCGGTGCATCTACTGTATGTCTGCAAAATATCTTGTTCGTGAAAAGGTATAACGGTTCTAGTTGCAAATATGTTGTCAACACAATCCTCTGGATACCCCTCGTACATCTTTTGAATTATTTTTCCATGGGTGGGCCCACATCCTTGCGCGTAAACAAACAAATCAATCGCATGTTCCTTTATTAAGGCCAAGAGATCTGGAGTTAGTTGCATTGGCACGAATTCTGTGTCGACATCTAAAGTTCTCTTACTCAATGCAAATCTCTTCATCTTCCGACGATCCTTAAATTTAAAGTATAGGAGCAGTATAGCAGTAGGGTGATAATTTTCATAAGGAATTGCGTTGCTATAGCCTGCTACTGAGCTGTATATATGTTCCACAAATGGTTCGGTTATTTCTTGATTCACATTCTCCGTGTCTGCGGTTCCAATAACTATATACCACTCGAGTGCTTCATCGGGTAAAACTCGACGAGTTGGTACAACCTTGCTTAAATCGCTGGAAAAAACTAAGGCTGGTTGTATTATGAAATCCGTTTTATAAGTTCCTATGTCAACAATCAAAGTCATGTAACCATCCATCTTGTCCAAGTTGCTTTTTTTTGTTTTTTTACCGCATCGGTGTACTATTTCTATATACTGTTTTTTTGAAAGGGTGTTCAACCATCGCTTCGTTGGAAGGATTTCGTTAATTATGGTGTAGCATTTACGTTGGTCTTGACTAGTTGGAACTTTACGAGCATCATCCTCCACTTGTATACTAGTATTATCATCAACAGCATCGTCCGGTGATGTATCCATGGCGGTACCTGACTCCTCCTCCTCTTCTGCATTTTGAGAAGTTGATGG